TTTTTTTTTAAACCGTATGATCTCACTTGCTGCTTTTGGCAAATTTAGAATTTTGCAACTGGTGAAATAAATAAAAATGTAAACACATGACGTTTGGACCTCCCCTGTGTTTTTTTTCCCTAAAAGTCCACAAGGTGGCAGTAGAGAGTTTTGGAGTGTCAGTTTATCTTTAACAAAGACACTGATAGAAGTGTCTACACATCTGTATCTTCTTTCTTGTCTAAGAACCCAGTTCTTGACATTAAGTTTAAATAATTAATATTATCAATCAGAAGAAATATTTGGTTCTTGAGGCTTTGTGTCATTTTCTGATGGGAAGAAATATTTATAAAATATTTATACTTTAGTATTCATAGATGCACTTAGTGCATATAATCTACCCTGAATAATAAATCACATTATTTGTTTTCTGTAATGCTGTGCGGTTAGGTCAAAGGCAATATTTAAACCTGGGTGTACACTAAAGACGTGTATAGGGTCTCCTGGTTACAAAAATATTTATTTATTTTAAAATGACTTTATTCATCTGCTCAGCACTTTTTGCTCCAATCTTCAAAGGGACACTTTTTATTTTATGGCACCTGAGAGACTTGCCTGGGCAGAGGATCGCAGCGTGGCAGATGGTTGCTCGTGCTGCATGCCTGAGTGAAATGGTTGAGGTGCACTAATAAGACAGCCACCCACACAGATAGTATGGATGCTTATCGCCCTCTGAGGGGCTGTTTGACAGCAGGCGAGGTGGTTGCGGCTGGGCATATCCCTCTGAGGTTACATACGTACTGTACATATCTTTTTACAGTCTCCTCACTGAATGAAATACCAAAGCTATGTTTTTATATATGCTCATTTTTGGTTTGATACAGACAAAGATTCCTTGTCAAGGTTTCTCAAGGTTGTGAGAAAATGAGCAGGGAAAATGCATTCATTAACCGATAACTCACTGCATCGTTCCCTTCATCTTCCCTCTATTTTTTCTCCCTTTTCTGTGTCTCTCTATTTTGTTCTTCTTGAGTGATGAGCTCGTCCTCTGTCCTCTGGGTGACATTCAAAGACAACATAAATCCTGCCCTTTATGGTATAGTGCAGCGATAAAGCTTCTCTACTAATTGGCGATGTAATGAATTACCATAATGAGTTATTGAATATAGAGAGGAAATGCTTTTGTTTTAGGGCAGAGAAAGAACGTATAATCAAATAATGCAATATTCTGCCATATAGATGGTCAAAATTGTGATGACAATGCTCTGAAATGCTTCCATCAGGTTTTGGGCTTGTTGCTAAATTATGGGCTATAATGTCTAAACAAAAATATTTCCTTAGTGCTGACATAGCGTTCGTTTTAATGTTTGGCAATGGGTTAAGTTGCCAAAGGCAAGTAAGGCTAAATGTTGCCTCTCATTTTTATGTGCCAATAAAGGATTTCCTTAATGGATGTCAACTTCACCCCCACCCACCCACCCCACTCCCCCCATCTCCTGTTAGATTTGGACAGCCATATCCTCAGAATATACAGGGTCTTTTATTGCAATTTAACATCAAGATATAATGTTTCAAAGATAAATGTCACCGTGCTATTAATCTGCCGGGCACTAAATTACACTAATGATACCAGAATATCACTAATTAATACTTTTAACCATAAAGCGACAATTCTGCCAGCCAAATGTGTATAGATTGAGCTGTTGAGTAATAATAAATAAAACTGGATTTACAGAGAAAGATGATGGAA